GCCTCTCAAAAGCATTTTTTAACATTTTAAAAGCCACCCCAAATGGTTGGCTACACCTGCAAAGTGTACTACAATTTAGCAATTTCAATACATATGTATATTACTCTGTCCAAATAGTTTCAAGAAGACAAGATCCATGTAAAATTAATGCATTCCCACAACTTGATTTACTCACTAATTTTTTACCTCAAATCAACCAAAATGAAAACCCTTGTAACAATATAAATAAGTTTAAACCAATTATTTCCACCAAGAAATGCTTGTACCAAATTGTATTATCAGAAGTTCCAACACTTAAAAACGCCTACCTACTAGAAAATGCTGCTTGGACAGTAAAGAAGAGAGTGAAAAGTTCGTCAAATACCCTTTTCCCCACATAGTGTACCAAACATGCATCGATTCTGGGTTCTGGTCGTCATTTGCAACATTGCAAACCAATTTTACTTCACAGGTAACAATTTCATTAATCACACAAAAAAACATGTAACATCACCAAGTCTGTCTCCGTAATCTAGGTACTCCCCAAACCAAGTGAAAAATATGAATATACATGATTTTAAACAAAAATAAAAACCCAACCTTCAGCATATTTCACACATGTATACAATACACAAAGAATGGAAGACCAAAATTAACACCCAGTACTAAAACTACACATAAAACCAAGCCAACTGATCATTCGGTAGCGTCTATTGAAGCCCCAGTCCTGGCCTGTGATATCCTGTTTGCATAAATAGTCACCAACCGTAATTGTGTGCTGTTTAGCCCCTCCAAGTACGGTAAAAATGATTTCCCAAGCATGATATAGATGTCAACCAGACAGAAAACAACGGTCTGCGACCCAGGGGAAATGCGTATCAAAATTCAAACTCAAAAGGACTAAAAATAGTAAGCAAAGATAAATTTCATAAAGCGAACAAGCAGTTGGGGTTCCAGTTTGCAACCCTGAGGGAAGAAGATATTAGCATTTCGATCTCATGCACGTTCTGAGAGGGGAGAGAGGCTTCTGAAGAATGAATTATTTTTTAACAAGTTACAAATTGGTAAAGAAACATTCTAGTAAACCTATCCCCAAAATAGATCTTTGAAATTCCAAAAACTAATACCTTTCGAACATCTGCACTCTGGTTCCCAAATGCATCAAAAAGAGCAGGCAAAAATGATGGTAATTGACCCATCAGTTCCTCACGCGAGAGCCTACCCACAAGCTGTAGAAAGGAAAAAGGTATCATCACAATCCACAACACAACAAATGTTGACAAAAAGTATTTTGGTTAATATATACAGCAAGCAAAATAATTTTAAAATGTTATAAATTTGGTAAGAATAAGAACGATGACAGTGAAGTCACAGAATTGACCAAGACTATAATGAAAAGGAAACTTGAGATAAACAGAAAAAAATGATATCATTAGTCTGAAAGAGCCCAACATGACTTTCCATAGTACAACAGTGGGATACAATTTGTGATTTCAGTATTCTCTACAAGTATGAAGCTATGGTTAAGTACTTAAAATCAGCATAGCCTCCAGTCTATTAAAAATGAAACGGAAAAGGGGATCGGGAAGTGGTACCTTTGTCAAACAGTTTATACAAGTGACAAGAGTTCTCTCATCTTCAGTAACTAACAAAGGAACAATAACCTGCAATGCACAAAGTGAGGCATATGACCAGACCATTGAAAACAAAAAATAAAAAAAATCAGCTTAAGGGGTCTTACAAGTAAATTATACAAAGTAGTACTTACACTTAAACATCTGAATTGATCATATTGCGACAATACTATAGTTAAGCAATGCTCTGCTATGCCTGATACCTGAATTAGAAAGTTAATACCCAAGTATGGATTAAAACACCAAATAAGAACTGAGTTTCAGTAGAGAAAGTTTACTTTTGGAACACCTTCTTTTGTCACGTGAAGCAGTTTTTCAATCACTATCTCCACAGAATCCTCCAAGGCATCTTTCTGCCAATAATACAGAGAAGTCATAAAGATGGAATGGGGGAAGACGCTAAACTCCGGTCTACAACCATGAGAATATAGACAACAGACCTGATTTTTCAGCATCTCAACAATTAATGACAAAGTCAGTTCCCTGATTGATGAATCAGAGTCATCCAACACTTCAAGTACAGCCGTCAAGATCTGGTTGAAGTACTGCAATATACAAAAGAAATATGAAAACATTTGCATGATGTATTTTGTCTCTGCTCATCGTAAACGCTACAGAACTGAACAGGAGACAATATAATTTCAGCACTAGAAAGGAAGGTGATAATGCTTCTATTTCAAGGAATCTAATCACTAAAGGAGAATAAATACACTGGGAATAAAAGTGCCAGCATCTAAGTTTCACAAAACTGGTGCAATTTTGAAGTACCAAGAGAGACCCCCAGCATTTTTTATAATTATTAAATTCCCATGGAGTAAACTATGCACTATTTAATACGATTAAGAACAGCAATTATAGTGGACAAGTTATCATTTTGCAGAAATCCAAACATGTAAAAATTGATCAAATGTTCTAGTTAATTTCTCCTGTGCCCTATATATTGCTATTGTCCAAGGCACCATCATCATCCACTCCATAACACATGCTTTCCTCAAAGTCTAGACTACATATGGCAGAGTTCAGTTATATAATCTCAAACACTGTATGTACCATATCATTGGTTGATTCTATCCATCACAAAATATTCTTTATTACAGAGTAAACGGTCATTAAATTGACAACAAGGAAGGACATTAAATTCACATCAAGGAAATGTCGAGCACAAAGAGAGATAAACAATGTAGACTAAAAAACATTGTATAACACAAAATTCAAAGCATAAATAGTGTTACAACTTGACTGTGGCCTACTAAAGTCATCTTTGTACGATTTTCTACCTAGACCCAAAAAAAAAAAAAAAAAAAAAAAAAAAAAAAAAAAGG